TTTCATTCAAACTTGGTACATAGATTATACATGTTAGGATACATGTCCATGATGATTTATTTCACAATTGGATCAAAGATGGCCGACTGGCAGCCATCTTGTTTTTTGAAAATGTTGTATTTTGGACATGCTTTGTCAGTTGTCATTCAAACTTGGTACATAGATTATACATGTTAGGATACATGTCCATGACGATTTATTTCGCAATTGGATCAAAGATGGTCGACTGGCAGGCATCTTGTTTTTGTTTTTTTATGCGGTATCTTGGACGTGCTCTGTCTGTTTTCGTTCAAATTTGGCACATACATGTACTTTATACATGTTAGGATGCATGTCCATGACAATTTGTTTCAAAATCTGGTCAAGGATGGCCGATTGACAGCCATCTGACTTTTTGGCCTTACTACTATATTTTCACAATTTATGTACCATTTTCATTCGTATTTGGCACATATATCATACATATCAGTGTGTTTCATAATCAGATCAAAGATGGCCGAATAACGGCTGTTTTTATTTTGACCATATTACTATGACACGAAACACGTGTTTTGATGTAAATAAACAATCTGTTGTATACGCCACTTGGAACTCAAGTTTCAAGGACACACTCACGACAACCCCTCCGCTTTAATATGACGAGCACAAAGAGAACTTAACGGGGACTGTGTCATTTTCAATGACTTGTTATGGTGTAACGTTATTGCCATCTTGGAGTTGTAAGGCTTCGTCCTGACGACTATGCTCATTAGCATAGGCGACAGATTCAAAGCGAGTGGAACACGAAGTACTTTTCACGCGTTCTGCAATGAATGTTGTACGTCAGCTTTGATTTGTTGAGTGCATCAGGGAAAATAATTTGCATGCAGTGAAAAAAAAAATCATTCACGATGTGCAACGTTTTGCCATGACAGCAGTTGTTTGCAATCGTCTGCCTTTGTTTAGATCATAAAGGGACTCCAAACTTGTGGTCTACGATCGTTTAGCTGGTATTTTAACCAGAAATGAAATACTTTGTAATAGTTGTGAAAAGTAAACAAAAACGGCGTTGGTTTGTGGTATGAATGAAATTATTTTTGTATCATAATTTTCAAAGTCAGTATTACTGAAAATTATGGTTTATTTTTTTTAAATGAACGCCAAATTTCAGTGGTCCATATTGATCTTAAGGTAGCCGGAAGGGGAATTTTTTTTTTTTATCTTGATTTTTCAATAATTGATAAAACGGTTACTTTGTACCTTGATTCATCATCCCAGCTTTTCGAAATTTCAGAAAGACCAGTGCTCAAACGCTAACACTACTACCGTTTCGTTAATATTTGTATAATGTTTCTAACATGTACATGTATATGTATACTACCGGTAATACTCTGTTGTTGACGATTAATAGAACGGATGACAAGCTTCTTGTCGCAAACAATGCATATTAATCTAACGTCCATTGTCAGCATTATTATCAGTCAAGACATCGTCTGAGAAATTGTCTATATTCTATTTTAATAACACCATCTTACTAACGCAATGACAATGAAAAGAAAGAAAGCAAAGACGCCAAAGACAGACGAGACAAAGACAAATCTGCAACTCTGGGTCATATTTACTAATTTAGACTTGCCTACAGCCTGTTGCGATTCCGATATAAAATTACAGGACTTTCGCGTTCACCCCTCGTTTACGCAATTTATATTTATTCTTCAAGAATTTTTCATCTAGGTCATATTATGACCAACCTCGCGAGTGGTTCGAAAGGGACGATTAGGCTGAAATATTCGCATCAAATATTCGTTTCAACTAGTAACCGATGACATCACCGATACGCGAGACCGTTGAGGGTCGGTGATCAGACGAGGAGGTGAGTAAAGGAAATATGTTGCTCGTCGACATCGGTCAAATAAACAAAGCCGTCGTTCCGTTTATGCAGAGAGCATGCACCCATCTAATTTTCCGTTGACACTGCCGTTTTAGTTTTCTATCTTCAGCAGTAGTTTCAATCCATTCACATAGCTTTACGTTTTTGTTCTCTTAATATTCTTAATAAAACGATATTGATTGCCTAGAAACAGTTTGACCCGCTACACGCTTTATTTGGGAATTCAAAGTGATGAATATAGTCATAACAAATTATACTTGCTAATAAAAAATAACGTAACATCGTGTGAAACGTACTTCGCGCTCTACTCGCTTTAAAGCTGCCGCCTATGCTAATGAGCATTGTTGCGGACGAATCCTTACAACTTCAAGACGGCGTTAATGTTACCAGCTCCCTGATGTTACACCATAATAAGGCAGCCAACACCAATGTGTATGTGTTTTGTAACCACTTTCATCCCCTCCGGGGGATGTTATATATGTTAATTAATCAATGTTAAATACTTGCTGATCACCGAACCGTGTGGCATGTAGTCGGTAAATACTTGTTTACCGTAGTTCGCGAGCAGTTAGCGAAATAACCATTTAAAACTAAACATTTCTATAAGGCATGCTGTGTACCCTTACATAGATCGACCATTGAGATTCGCGCTTTTGGACCAACCAACCAATGGGAATCGTGCTCTTCGCAGAGTGACACTGCTGTGACATGTGTTTCAATTGTGACTGTGTGTTGTTTAGTAAAACATTACAAATACATATTTGTATAAAAACGGTTTGTCCTGTACCTTACTGTTTATGCCAAGATATCAGATTTGAAAAAAAAATGTTTCAAGCCATGACATTTTTATTCTGAATTTTTTTGTTCACTGTAATAATAAAACAAAAAATTATAGTGTATAAGCAGTTTGTGGAAAGTGGAACAATTATACATGTACAAACACTATGAATGAATTATGCAAATGTATGCTAATTATTATGCAAGGCAATCACCATCCCTGATCAAAATCTAGGGGATAACAAGTTGCATGCCTAATGATAGTATACCAAATAGTATTGGGAAGTTATCATATATTTGCCTACTATGTGTAATGTTATTTTTTTTACAGAGATGAGTTGGCTGAAGCATGGAGAATATTTACACCATTATTGCATCAAATAGAGAAGGAAAAGATTAAACCCATTCCATACCAATATGGAAGGTAATCCTGACAATCTAAGCTCTCTTCTCAACTACTATTTGTTGTCATGGCTAACTAGTAACAGATGTGGAAATTTTGTTGAGTAAAAGGGATTTATGATTATAATTTATAATTTATAAGGGGACTTATATTTCGGTCTCCGTCCGTGCGTCCGTCCGGAGTCATATCTCAGAATCCCTTGGACCGATTCCGTTCATTCTTTGCATGTGCCTAGTACTTTATGTGGGACATATGTACATGCAGTGGTTTAGCGATTCGATTCAAAATGGCCGACTGGCAGCCATCTTGTTTTTTGGAAATGTTGTATTTTGGACATGCTTTGTCAGTTTTCATTCAAACTTGGTACATAGATTATACATGTTAGAATACATGTCCCCGACATACGCGAGTTCCTGAGTCTGTCCGTCCGTCCGTCCGTCCGTGCGTCAGTCTGTCCAGAGTCGTATTTCAGAATCCTGTGGACCGATTCCGTTCATTCTTTGCATGTGCCTAGTACCTTATATAGGACACATGCAGTGGTTTAGCGATTCGATTTAAAATGGCCGACTGGCAGCCATCTTTTGTTTTTTGAAAATGTTGACATGCTTTGTCAGTTGTCATTCAAACTTGGTACATAGATTATTCATGTTAGGATACATGTCCATGGTGATTTATTTCGCAATTGGATCAAAGATGGTCGACTGGCAGGTATCTTGGACGTGCTCTGTCAGTTTTCATTCAAATTTGGCACATACATGAACTTTATACATGTTAGGATGCATGTTCATGACGATTTGTTTCAAAATCTGGTCAAGGATGGCTGATTGACAGCCATCTGACTTTTTGCCTTACTACTATATTTCCACAATTTATGTACCATTTTCATTCGTATTTGGCAGATACATCATACATATCAGTGTGTTTCATAATCAGATCAAAGATGGCCCAATAACGGCTGTTTTTATTTTTGGCCATATTACTACTACACGAAACACGTGTTTTGATGTAAATAAACAAACTGTTGTATACGTCACTTGGAACTCAAGTTTCAAGGACACGCTCGCGACAACCCCTTCGCTTTAATAGGACGAGCACAAAGAGAACTTAATTTAACGGGGACTGTGTCATTTTCAATGACTTGTTAAATAGTACCTAAACTTGTTTCTATGGAAACAGAGACTTTATGTCATTCCTGTAACATTTAATCCTACTTAGACAACTATTTTTGATTGAACAAAAGATAATTAGACTCATAATTCAAAAAGTAGCCAATAACAAAGAATAATTTTGCAAAGTTACAGGAAATTCCGTCACAAAAGTGTTAGCGATGACTGCAAACATTCTTCTTAAGTGTCCTGAGGGAG